AGTCCTACCTGGGGTCGGGAGAAAAAATTTTTTGCAGCTCGTGTATAAGACGAGCCGAGCCGAGTTATTATAATTGGCTGATGTCTCATTGTTTTCCTACAGTTGATGAGGTCGCAAGTTGCAAGTAATCCGAGGGGAGGAGGGGGCGGGGTGCACAAAGCGGTCGCTTCCTGAAACCTACTGCATTGGACCTACAATACCGGTGAAGCAGTGTGCGAAAACTTTTTAGCACTCGTGCATAGTCAAAATTCAAAACTTCCGGATGGCATCGTTTCAAAATTAAGCAGAAATGTTTATTATTCTGCTTAAACCTTACAAGTAACTTAGCATCTAATATCAAATAATTGGTTAACGCACAGGCTGCCGGTGCGAAGACGCGTTTTTTGCACAGTTCCCCGCAGTTGTTGTCGCTACCGGCACCAGTTTTCCCAGCAAATGCTTCTAGTTAAACAAATTGAGACTAGCCGCCAGAACTGTCAGGAAACACCTCCCTAAAATTTCAACTTTCTAGCTTTCCTGGTCCTCTAGTTAGCAACTTACCTGAGAAATCTTTCACGGGCCCGTACGTGGGTACCACGCATATCCGGTCTCTGGGTTTAAGCTCATTAATACCCACTTGGATGGAGAACATCCCCTTAAAATTCCACTCCTCTAGTTTCTCAGGTTCCCGAGCCAGCAACTTACCCGAAAAAAAATTTTATGGGCTCGTACATGGATACCACGCACAGCCAGAGGGCTGAGTTAGAGATCATTAACACCTAATTAGACGGGGAACGTCCCTTTAAAATTTCAGTTCTCTAGCTTCTCAGGTTCCTTAGCAGCTTGCCCGAAAAAAATTTCACGAGCCCGTGTGTGGAAACCACTAGGGTAAGAGCACTGGGGCCCATACACGCATGTAGATTAATTTTCCAAAGTTTCAGCCCTGTAACTTCTGTAGGTCTTGAGATGAAAAACCGTTACAGACGCACACACATGCACACACACACACACACACACACACACACACACACACACACACACACACACACA